ACAACAGCATTGACATATTCAATAACAATTTCCAGAGCTAAGATGCATCTCTTACAAAATTGGCTGTACATTTTTATGTTTACAGATGAATTATTACACTTATACAATCTTTTACTCATTATAAACCCTATAAGACATAAATTAAATGATGTTTTAACCTTTAAAAAGATCTCCATTTCATTATTAAAATACACAGTTTCATACAGAAAAATTCTTTTTCAATGCAATTGACATTGGATGTTTGCACATGCATTTCTAATCTCTAAATATCTGATTATTACTAGTCACACTTGGTTACTTTCTGAGCTTCTAGGCATCTGAGCATGAATATAAAGTCATCAGGTAGGTTTCAATGGTAATGTTTTTCACATCTACTAGTTATTAAGGAGCAAATTTTTATGCTTTGAAGAATTTTTTCATAGACCCACTTCCCAGGTAGCACCCTCCCACAGCCTCCCTTCCCCCATTAGAGCCCTTATACTCTGATATCCCTGCTACTATCTGCTGTGTTGTTGGCACCCCCAGCCGTTCCCCACTACTTGTCCTTCTGGTGAATCTAGTCAGCCTGTCTAGATGTCTTTGTTGTAGGAGGGTCAGCTGTTCCTCATCTAGTGGCATTCAGTTGTCTAGTATTCCTTTGGATAAGATTGGGGTCTGCTGTTCAATTTCCCAGCTCTCTTCTGGGTTACTATCTGGGAATCTCTTTGGCCACCCTGGCCAACAACTCAGAAGGGTTGATCTTTTTGAGACAGGGTTTCAGGTAGCTCCAGCTGTCCTGGAACTCACTATGTAGACCAGGCTGGTCTTGAACTCACAGAGATCCGCTTGCCCCTGCCTCCCGAGTGCTGGGATTAAAGGTGTGCACCACCACGCCCCGCTTTTTTTAAATTTAAAAATTTTATTTATTATTTTTGTTTTATGTGTATGAGTATATTGCCTGCATGTCTGTAAGTTGCACCCGTTTCATGCAGTGCCTGAGGAAGTCAGAAGAGGGCATCGGATCCCGTGGAACTGGAGTTACAGACGGGTGTTAGTTGCTGCCATGTGGGTGCTAGGAATTGAAGCCAGGTCCTCTGCAAGAGCAATGGTGCTCTTAACCACTGAGCCATCTCTTCAGCCCCCATCTCCGTTCTTAGCCCCGCCCCTCCCTGCGGCCCCGCCCTCCATGTGGCCC